CACAATGCCCTGAGAAGAACCAGGGATAAGAAAACGCTAAATAAAATACTAAGAAATCACTGTTTTTTCTAGCAAAGTAGGGAGAAAGTCCTGAGGAATAAAACCAGTGCTGTGTCTTTGTGTGAGGTCACCACACTTCAGTATCACTGTGGAATGATGGGATCTCATCAACAGGAGCCTGGAAAGACCCACTACCTTTTTTGTCAGCACGTTCCTTGCTCTTTTTTTTCAGTAAATTGGCTCCCATGCATGAGCATGTTGAAGTGGGAAATTCCCTGGATGAGAGAGCCAAAAACGGTGTCATTATTCTGTACATGTTGGTTTAAGCAAAGCAGAAGGGATTTGCAAAACTGAAAGATTGCTGAGCAGTTTCTTCCAGCTTGTCTTTCCCCAGGAGAGGATGATCTGTAGGGTCACTACTGACACTTCAGGAAAGATAAAACAGCAGTGCAGAGTCTCAGCTGCTTAGGTCAGAGGTCAGAGCAGGGCAGTGAGGAGTTAGGAGTCCCGTAACTCTTTCAAGGCAAGTCATTTAACCACCCACCAGTCACCCTTAAGCCTGGTCTGAAATACAACTTAAGATTATTATTAGTGTGTAAAAAGTGTGTTGGCCATGAATGCAAAACTCCTCAATAAATGTATATTCTTATTATCCACCTGTACTCTGATTTCCAAAAGACGTATAAACCCAGCTCTTTACCCATCATTCTGGTTGTCTCCTGATTTTGAAACATATGTCATCTAGTTGTGAGAATTGTCTGCACTCATTTCTCCTCTTTTCTGGAGTTGATGTTTGGCCATGGAAGCAGGAAGGAGCTGTGCTTCTGCTCAACTGGACCAAAAGGCCAGGCCCCCTGATCTTGCTAATACTTTTATATTGCCCATTTTCAGAGTGGCTTCCAGGAATTAAATTCTCCCTCTTCTATACACCCACGTTTTGCAGGTAGAAGATTGTCCAAAATTGGAGACTTTCTGACTTTTGGGTCAGATATAGAGTGAGGACTCAGGCATTTATGGCACCAAGAACCAGCTCTTCTCTATCCCCACAGATTTTTAGTACAAGTCAGCCTTTCCAGAGCCCTCACAAAGAAGGCAGGAATTAATTCTTTTTCATCTTCTGTTTTGTGATGAGTAGGTTGCAAATTATCTCAAAACAAGTGCCTCTGCTCTCTTGGTTCAGCTGAGATACAGCTCCACTGTTATCAACATGTGTTTATGGGAACTGGTAAAAAGAGATGCCTCTTGACAGTAGCCTTTATTAGAGAAAACAAAATGACTACATTGGTCCGTGAAAATCATATCTGTATTTGAGAGCAGGCCTGGAGAATGTCAGTTTTTGTAAATTAAAAGTTTTTTCTATGTCTGGGTGGGGAAAAAGGGAACCTGGAGAGAAGAGATTGAATCAGAATATAAAGATCAGTTGTGTCTACAGTTCAAAATCCTACAGAGCATGACTGATAGTATCAGTTTTCTCGTACTCTAATTCTGCTGATTTCTCAGGGAACAAGTCACATCAGCAAAGCTGAACGTGGCCCAGAGAGCTGGAAATCACCTCTTGGATTCTGTCTGCTCTCCTTACTGTGCAGCAACAAGTCCCAGCAGGAAGGTAGTTTCAGGGTCTGTGACCTGTTTAGAGGACATTGAGGGCTGCTTGGCAGGTGATTGTCTTTGAGACTGCAATGCAATGCTGACCTGGCAGTGGTTTTAGAGCTGCACACCTAAGGCTGCATGTTGGAAGAGTGCCCTTAGACAGGGAATCAGAGCAACTTATTACAGTGTCTTTTGTGAAATGCTGATATTCTCAAAAAAAAAAAACAACCAAAAAACATTGCCAAGAATGAAGGTGTTGTCCAGTGAACTTGTTAAGAAAGCTAAAATTGATTCCATAATCTTTTTTTGTGCTGTTTATACACAATATTTGGAAAATTTATGTAAGATCTGCTTTGTAAGTGCTGCACTGTATCATTGTGTTTGTAGAAAACTTCAATAAAAACATTTTGCTTTACTATTTGTATACAAGTTTGCAAGTTGATTAATTATTCATCTCCTGTCCAGTAATATTGCTTTTAAAGTCTGTGAAACTATTGTCCCTTCAAAAGAATATTCTTCTAATGTAAGTAGGTCTCTTGGGTCACAACCATTTTATTATCCACTGATCAGCTTTTGGACTTCTTTTGTTCTTTAATTCTGTTACTTGCCAGTGTGCTTTAGAGAGTGCGTGCTGAAACCATTGGGACAAAGCTTTGTTCCACTTTGTTGTTGAATTAGTCCTATAGATTCTCTCTGGATTACTTAAATTTACAGTGTAATGCCATGTAAAACAGAACCCTTTTCTTGACTGTGGTATCTCAAGTACTTGACAGCATACACCTCCAGAAGGCCTGTGGCTCTGCAGCCCCAGTCTTGCACAGTGGAAGTGAGTGGGAATTTTGTAACTGAATTTGGGGGTTTCATGATAAAGCCTTAATTGCAGTTACCTTACTGGGGATTTGGAGTTTAAAAGAATGGCTCATATCTCTTAAGAAGAAATGTTTTGCAACTTCTGCAGGTTATGCAAATCATGATTTTCCCCTTTTCCTCCTCTCTTGATGAGTCACCAACCCTTTTCCTTACAGTGGAAACAACTGAGAAGATATTTGTTAGATTGTAATGAGATAAAGGACTATGGCTATGATGTTTTCTATACAGTAAGTCAAAAGCGAGTTTCTATGATTCTATGTTTGTCAGCGTGTCCTTTACCTCTGCTATCCCATTTTACTGACTTTACTCCTGTAATTTTGTATTTTATTCTTGCTATTGTCAATACAGATTAGACTCTAATAAATAAGTTGCTAAAGCATTTTGCATGGCCTCTTCTGTCCCTATCCCCTAGCTGAATCCTGGCAGTGGATTGAGACAACAAATGGCTTCTAAGGTTGCAGTGGAGGCTGTAGCCTTTAGATGTAAAATACACTTCCACTGGGTGATACCTTTTTCCTTGAGAGAACCCTGAGTGCAGCTCTGGGGCAGGCCTGCATGACATAAAAGAATAAGAGAACATGACCTAAAGCTAAAGGAGTGTTAAGAATAATATAAAAGTTTGGGTTTGTGGTGTTAAACTGAAGAGACTGAGATGAGACAGACAGAAACAATGAAGATTCAGGGTGCCCCACCAAGCCGGCAAAGGCTGATTTAGGTTTCATCTTCAGGCACTGTAAAGGTATGTCGGCCAAGGTAATTCCAGGTAATCCACTACAAACTCTGTGCTGCAACAGCCAGCCAAAACCACTTATCATCTGTCACCTGCTTTTGATCTTCTGAGATCCCTTAAGACACCTGCCTGCAGCTGTATAGGATAGCAGGAAATTCAACTTCCAGGATGAAAAGAGCATATTCTGACATGCATCCTTTCTTTCCTGAAATGAGGAAGTTTTAAGTAGTTGATGTAGGAGTATTTGCCATTGTCTTTGAATTGAGATCTCTCTTTTCCTATAGGCATGTTTATTTTTCGAAACAATGAAGAAACAGAAGTTGTCAAGTGGTGCAGCTTCTGTTTCAAATACACTTTCTTGTCACAGGCCTCCGAAAAAAAGAAAAAATTCCCTTTTGTTACAATTTTATCATGGTCTTTTTCTGACCAGAACTTTTTTCTTTTGTGATGCTTCTGAGCTTTGCTTGTGAAGTATCCACTGTAAGAAACTGAGGTGAAATCAAATAATTTGCTTTGGGGTTGTATTTGAAGGAGAAGAAAATATCTCCTATGTCAAAGTAAATTTTTCAGAAGTCACCCCAGTGCTCTGGATTTTTGGATTAACGCACAGAACTTGGCTCCTCTGCCTGTAGGTATTGGCTGGTTGTTGGGAAGAAAACAATATAGCAGCAGGGATCTTCTGAACCTCTTGTCCCTTTGCTATAGTGGAGACATTTGTTCCTATGATTACTTTTGGTCAAACAGCTCTTTGATTTGGATCTTGTGTGTACAGGACAGTTTATAAAAAACCAGCTTGTTGTCCACAGTCTTCACAAAACATAAACTTAATTGCATATGCAAGACATTATTTATGGGTCTTTCTTTTTCTTTCTGTGCTGTTTGGAACAGAAAGGTTGCTAGGGCAAAATGTTAGAGGAGTTGTGATTATTTCTGCTATGTTTTGTGTGTATGGTTTTTGGCAATGCAGCAAACCCCCTTTTTTGACACAGTTTTGGCTTAATTTTCTTACTGCGGGCTCATCTCTGATGAGCCAACTGATTAATGTTTTGTTTAATTTCCTTTTGTCTTTTTGTTCTCAAAAATCTTTGCAACAGTGTGCAAAACCCCAGCAATAATAGCTGATTTTGCAAACCATGGTAAGAATTTGTTCCAAGGGTTTTTTTCAGGGTAACACTGAGATCTTTTATACAGTTCATATTCTTCAACAGATAGAGTGGGCAGATTAATATGTTTTCTCAGTCTGTAATATTCGTTTGACAAGAAATTACTTTTGTTTGATAAGGAAAATTTAATCTGTTGGCCACAGCATCAGACCAAAGACAAAGTAGGTCTTTTGCTGTTTTATTTAGTTTACTATATATATATCAGGGATTTGAAATCCTGAGGATAAAGTACTGCAGCGTCTGAACACCATGATCGCTACTTTGCTTCAGATATTCTGAATTAAAAACTGACATATTTTCAAATTGGTTTGCTCACCTCAGCCAGGGAGTAAACTCTTCTCCTTGTTGGCCAGTCTTTCCCAGTTTTGTTGCAGTGGGGCAAGAGGGACTCCTTAATCTGTGAGGTCAGGGAGCTCTTCAGCTGGAGGTGGTAGATGCCTTCAAGGCAGTAGTTTGCTGTGAGAATCTGCTGAATCTCAGCCCTCGACTCTGTGGCTGAATGGTCATTGGTGTCTCAGTGGTGCTTTGGGGTAGTCTTGCAACATGAAGACCTGCAGCCAGGAGAAATCTGGAAACTAATCTAGTTCCCCCAAGGAGAACTAGACAAGGGGACAAGGACTTGATTTTTTATTTCTTTCTGCTTCTAGGTGTCAGTCAGCCACTCCGCCACCTCTTTTGTCCCCCCGAAGAAGCCCTGCCTACCCCCTCAGTGATAGTGAGGACTCTTCGCGCTCTACTCAGCTCACCAAAGTCTCCAGCTCCAGGCAGTGCCTCAAGGACTGGAACAGCCGCACGTCTACGCGCCAAAGCACCTCCACAAGCCCATCGGACACAGACTCCTTGAGCCACCCTCTCAAAGCCGTCAGCGTGGGTGCTTTGGATAAAAGGCCCTCCGTGTCCAAGGTTGACCAAAAGGAGAGTCCAAGTGAGGCTCAAGATGGGGAAGCAATAGGGAGCCATCCACTTGCCCGGAGCACTCTGTCCTTGGGCACTGCCACCAACTCGAGGACCCTCTCCATTAGCAGGGTGAGCATCCGCTCCCAGGCGCTGGACATCAGGCAGAAGATCACAGAATGGGAATGCCGCCGGGAGCTGTCCCCCAGGACGAGTGTGTGTGTGGACAAGAGGGATGCTGGGGAGAGGTCAGGCAGTGAGAGCTGCCCCAGTGTGCTGACCTCTCCCTGCAGCGACAAGACATTTGATTTCAAAGGGCTCAGAAGAATGAGCCGAACGTTTTCCGAGTGTTCTTACCCGGAAACAGAGGAGGAGGAACTGCTGGACAGGGATTCCTGCCATCGGTTTGAAAAGAGACCAAGCAGGAGCGAGCCTCCTTCTGCCACTTTCCTTAAGGGCCATGGGAGGAAAGAGTCCTCTGCTGTGCTCAACAGAATACAGAAGATTGAGCAGGCTCTGAAGGAGCAGTCGGGCAGAGGCCTCCCGCAGTTACCAAGTAGCTGCTACAGTATTGACAAAGGGAAGAAAAAGACTGTGGAGGGACTGAGTGAAACCCTAAGTGATAGCAAAGGAGGGAGTGTTATTTTGGGGAGTGAACCAGAAACACCCCCTGAGGCTGAGAAAAGCAGTAAAACAAAACAGGGGGTTACTGCAAACTCAGCCAGCCCTAAACTGCTCCTCGAAAGCCCGGGCAACAGCGCGGTGAATCCTGTCCCCAAGCCCAAACGCACCTTTGAATATGAAGCTGACAAAACCCACAAAAATAAACCAAGCAATGGCCTACCTCCGTCTCCTACACCTTCTGCTCCTCCTCCCCTCCCGTCCACTCCTGCACCTCCCGTGACCAGAAGGCAGAAGAAAGAGTCGCGCTTTCACAGAAAATCCCAGAATAGGTAAAAGTCAAGGAAATGTCTTGTGCTCGGTTCTCCAAATAAATTAATAAATAAGTGTGCTGTGGTTTTGCAGTAACAATATTGTAAATTCTCCTCTAATGCAGTGCTTTTGACATAAGAAAAACTAGGAGTTGTGTGCAAGACTAGTGTTTTTTTTTCTGCTGTATTGCACTGATGGGATGCACTGGTACAATACCTTTATATGCCTACAGTTTTCTACAGCTTACATTCCTGGATCCCTAAAAAAGGCTCTAGGTCACATGTGCTAAAGGTTATCTAAGTTCATTTTGGCACAGATGCTCTTGATTGTGATTTTTAATGGACCATAATTTCATTATTGTCTTGTTGTGGGACCCTAGCTGATTCATCATAGTCTTTTCTTCCTGTTCACTCCAAAACACACCTGCACAGGTTTTCTATTTCCAAAGCTCATTACTACAGTGGTTGTGACAGTTTTATGCAATGCTGGTGATTTTATTTATTTCAGTGCTTAGGGATGGTATCCTAAGTTACTATCAACAGCTGTAGAGGATTAATGCTGAGAAAACTGTTGTGGCACAGAAAGACTCTTATGCCCTTCCTGAGTTAATGACGGGCAGAGTGTATGGCTATTTCCTCAGCAATCTGTGGAGCTTAGATTGTTTTAATTACATGATTTTCCTGAGTTTTAGGCATCATAAAACTCATCCTGCTCACTGCTTAGAAAATTATAGGCATAGTTGTTGCTAAGCATTCGAAACACATAATTTTTAACAAGTTCACATATCCATGCATGTGTGTGACACACACAATTCCCCTTGATATTTAGTTTTGTAAGTAACTGCTAAACAGCTTCTCAGATGCACATTATCAGTTCAGTATCTGGTGCTTGGTGTTGACTCAATTAATTAAAGGTTTACATCAGCACAACCTGACCTGAAGTATGCTGAGGGAGGAAAAGTAGAACCTTTGGATTCTGCCCTTTTCTTTTAAGGCACACCTGCTTTTGAAATGGATTGAACAGCGCTGCTGAGACGAGTTGTTTCTCTGAGAAAGATGGGGGAGGGGGGGAATGTGGAAAGCGAAGCTCTGATTAGCAGTGCTTATCTTTGAGTTCTGGCAGTGATTTCAGAGGAAGTAAATCTAGTTTTTAACAAGAATTTGTGAAGCAAAGCTTACCTCGTTTTGTTCAGCACAGCATTTGCAATGTACAGAAGATAAACAACTGACTTTGAAATGTTCTAGTATAACCAATAGCCTTTATTGGTAAATTAAGGGGCAATCATCTAAGAATCACAGTATTTTATGACAATGATCTTTGAGATGAAGTTTTGAAACTTCTTTCAAGAAGAGATACCTGCTGTTCTCCAGGTTCAGTCTCCTGTTGTAGCAGAGTTAGACAACAGCACAGTTCAGCAAAGGAGCTTCAGGCCTGTAGGGTTAGGAGATTCAAACCCAAAAGAAAAGCATTATTTATTAATCTAAATTGTGATTAGTAGAGTACAAGTTGTAGGATTTACAATGTTATCATGTGAACCTGATGATTCTTGCAAATCAGTTTGACATTTTACAGGGTAGGTGTATATTTATTTGTAACAGCTTTACAGTAGTTTAGTGATTTCTCTGGACTCAACTCTGATTACTCATGAGTTTAAATCAATCTCCTAAAAATCTCAGGTTTGCTGGCTGTCTTTAAGGCTGGGTGGAAATCTGTTATAAAATCTTAAGTTTATCATCTTCCTTTAGTTACAGAAAGGAGAACTGTCAGGATTTACAAAGAACTTAAGATCATACCATTCATCTAGGAATGACAGTATTTAGTTAATAGTAATTACTGAAAACTCTCTATCTAAGCTGTTCTCTTTTTGACAACAGACATAATTCATTGTGTCTACAGCTTGTAGCTCTGTGTTTCAGATTGAACACACACATGGTTTGCACTCACTGGAATGTCATGGGAATGGACTGTGGGTATTTATTCTTCTAATGTTTTGATTGAAAACACTGATTTATTTGTCATTCTAGTAAAATGGGGGAAGGTCTCTTATGTTTGCCTCCTAGCATGGGGACAGTCTGTATTCAGAGGATCTGGTGCCCACAGTAGGTTCATTATTTCAGTTTGATGTGAGCTGGATGTTCCCTAGCAGTTGTAGATCCTCTAGCACACACACAGTGCAGGAGAGGAGTGTCACAGGATAGGCTTGGGATACATGGACCACAGCTGAGTGTCAGTCCACAAAACCATTCCTGTGATCCTACACAGTGTCACCACATCATAGTGTTGCCTTGAAATCTTATAGGAGTTGGATATTTAACTACTTTAGAAAGTCTCCTTTGATACACAGGTATGTCTTAAGTGTATAAGCTTCCTTTATAGCTGAGAGTAGGTGTGGAGGAGCAGGTGTTTGGATCTGGAATGCACAGATTGTTTCTGCTGTGATCCTGATGTGCATAACTTGGACCTGGATATTCTGAAGATTAGGGAAAGGAGAGAGAGGAGGCTCCTAAGCGTGATCCAGACCTGTAATACTGCTCCAGTAGACAAATAGGAAACACTCTTGTCAAATGCTGTGTCTGCATGTTAGTCATTTTGTTACCTACAGGGATACTCGAGCCAATTCACAGACCAAAGTATGTCCCATGAGACTCACTGCCATATGGGTGTGCTGTAACTCCAGCTGGCAAGAAGAACAGGGGTTGATGGCAGAACAATTTATTGTTAATCTAGTTTGGGTCTCAGTGAGTGAAGTATGGGCATTAGCACAGTCTCTACAAGCCTTACAGCACCACAGGATTTATGCTCTGACCTGAGCCCGTTTTTATTACCATTTCATCCTCAGCAGTAAATCAGTCCAATGAATGCCAGCCCCTGTACAGCTGGCACTGTGATTCAGGGATCTCCCAGCTTCAGCATAGATATTGCCTGAGGGAACAAGTGCTGTGTAAACTAGAGACGGGGAAGGACTCCCGCTCTTCTTCCTCTAGAACTGCTCTGCAGCATTGGGGCAGGTGTAGGTGGGAGGTGGTGAATCGCCCCTCCTTCAAGTACCCAGGTGGGAGACAAATTGTAGGGTTCATCTGACCCAGCTGGTCCTCACCTTCCTGCCAGAAAGGCCAAGCCTTCAGGCCCTCAGCCATCAGCCCAGATTGCTCACCCACTCCAGAGAGCACTGATTTCCTCAGTGCTTTGCCCTTTGGTGATAGTGTTTGACACAGGGTGTGCAAGAGAAAGGGGTGACTTCCACACGAGTCTGCCTCTGGCATCTGTACACTGACCTCTGTGCAGGAACACATCTGAAGGTTCAAGATGTGAGTGGTGCCTAATGTTACCACTCAAGATGTGAGTGGTGAGTGCTGTATCTCCTAGAACAACTAGTGCAGGAAAGCTTTTCAGAGATATGCCTTTCTTGAGGAGAGAGGGCCACATGCTTCTGGGGAGCTTGGCAAGAGCAAAGCTATTTCTAACCTCAGGACTGTGCTGCTAACCTTGTAAATTCTCAAAAATATCAAAAATACTTTCTTGGTATTTTCTCACTGTCTGCATAATGGGGATAGGAATACTTCCAATCTCCTAAAAGTGTCACAGGTGGCTATACTAGAGACTGCTGTGAACACAGGACTTAGGATCCTCTAAAAGATAGTTCTTAAAACATGACATGTGATTTTTGTTGTTGTAGTTCATTTTATATGTCTTTCTTAGCAAACACCCATCCAAATGTTCAAATAATTTTGCATTCTAGTTACTAATTACTTATTGTTTTCAACTTCAGAAAATCCTTTGAGTTTGAGGATGCCTCAAGTCTGCAATCCCTATACCCTCCCTCCCCGACTGAAAATGGGACTGAGAGCCAGCATAAATTTGGATCCAAGAGCACTTTAGAAGAAAATGCCTATGAAGACATTGTAGGTAAGAAGCTGCTGCAGTACCCGGGCTCACAGCGGGATGTTAAGTGGTGGTGGGCAGGCCACGTATTGTTGAACACGTGCAATGTGCAGGAGCATTCGGTGCTGTCAGTAAAGAGAGATTAATGGAGGGTAAAAGGGTTTGATCCTTCAGTGCAAATGTAGGAAGTAGTAATGTCTGCATGTAGGAAGTCTTGATTCTTCTGGACTTTATTGGGTACTATTGGAAACAGACTGTTTGGTCAGCTTTTTGCCAATGCTTTTCAAGAACCAAATCACTCTTTTTATCACGACCTTGGCTTGAAGCCTTGAGTGGTGTAAAAATGCAAAGAACTGAACTTGAGACGGTGTTTACAGAGCTATCCAATAGCAAGATTAACCCCAGAGGCCTTGTGTGGTCACCCTGAGCTTTTCAGGACTCTGGTGTGGACTGCCCCAAAGCAGTTTTTTGTAGCACTGTTCCTGATCTTCCCTAAGTCCCAGTTGCTGGTTAAAGAGGAATTAATTTCCTTTAGCTATACAACCATCAGAAGTGCACAACAAAAAAAGCACTGTTTTGATTAAGCTTCATAAGAAAAACATGTTTCTTTCGGTCTTAGAAGGAAATGTATGGCCTATGCGTACATTCTTTTAACATCAAAAAAAAGTTGTTACAATTACTGAAAATTGGGCAGCCCTTCAGAGCACAGATTTTCCACACAAGTGATGAATATCTGCATTGTTTTTAACTCTTTCAGTGTTATATTATTACAGCAGATAGAAAGGGAACTTCATTTTACTTTGGACAATGAATCTTTATATACTGAAAACTGGAGGGGAACCAAGATAGTCATGGACCCTGAAGCACATGTCCTCTGAAGAGACACTGACAAGCTGGGCTTGTTTAGTCTGGTAAAGTCACTCTAGTAGTGCTGAAAAATGCCTGAAAGGCAAATAAAGATAATAGAACAAAACTCTTCTTGGTCATATCAGTTGATACAGCAAAGAGCAGTGGCCACAAATTGCAGCCTGGGGCTCTTTGTCATACCCAAATTCTCTCTCTGGCTTGTCAGCCTCAGTGAAAACAGGAATTTATTCTTTCCATTTTCAGCTGTACTCTTCATCTATGCCATTCAAAAAAAAAAAAATGCTTTCAGAACAGAAGAAAATGCTCTTGCTCAGTATTTGTTAGTAAAAATGAGAGCTTTTGTAGATACTGAGAAGTTTTCCTCTGTGAAGAGTATCTTTATGTGAACATCAGCCTTTTCCATGACAGACCACACAATTCATACTTGAAAATGTATTGTGTGTTAGTTACAGTGCTCATATTTTCTCGGAATTTGTCAATGTGCTGCCCGATGTTAGGTGGTAATGCTTCTTTTCCTTGCTCTGGTTTGTTAAATATCAAAATAAAATGTGCAGGACTGGTAAGAAGCTTTCTTCAAAAGAGAAGAAATCTTGGGTTCGGTAAAGCAAAATCATAATGGGCTCTTCCAGCTCATGGGAACTATAAACCAGCTGCCTTCAGACTATAATTTGGGCATTTTGGCAGGGCAGTGGGAAGAGAATGCAAAATTTCAGATCTGTGGACAAACACAGAACTTCATTGTTTTGTACTGCTTTTTAACAACCTCTTTCCAAGCACTTCATTCAATACAGGCAGTGCAGGGGGAATACAAAATCAGTATAATTCTTATAAACTGTCAAGCTTGATTAAAGACAAGCCAAAGTGGTTTGATCTCCAGCTTTAAAGAAACTATCGTAGTTTTGTGTATCACATCTGCAATTTATACCAGTAGTGCTAGACCCCAGTCTCTAAGTAGCACTTCTGTACTCATGCAAACCAGGTGCCTGTAAGAGTGAGTTTGTTTTATAGATCTATGTCTGCTTCAAAGCTACAAAGGACTTGCCACTATACTTTGGGTGTTGTTTGCAAAGTTGCTCTAGAGGCAGTGGTGGGTCTTTTTTCTCTACCTTGTTGAATCTCCTGTCTCCCTAAAAGCTTGTAGATGGTTAAAACATTGTTGCTGTAGTAATAAACTTAATAAAGTGTGTAATTTCCTCTTAGAGTTAAAATTTGTAATGCAAGTCAATTCTAAATTACAAGAAAAGAAAGTTGTGAGTCTTAAGTAATTTTCTAAGCACTGTGAGATAGAATCATAAAATTCAGGTTTGAAGGGACTTTGGAGTCAGCTGGTCCAATCTCTGCTCAGAGCAAGGGTAGTTTCAATATTAGGTCAGGTTTCTTAGGGCTACATCTGGTTGAGTTTTCGAAATACCATAGCAGGATGGTTTCACTGTCTCTCTGTGCAGCCTGCTCCACTGCTTAGTCTCCACTGTGGAGAACTTTTTCTTGATGTCACTGTGAATAGATTTTTCTTTCTATCCATTTCCAGTCCAAGTTCTTCTTGTTGCCATTTGTGACTGTTGTCCTTCATCCTTTCACCTCTGAGCAGTGCCTGGTGCCACCTTTTCCACTTCCCCTTCTAGGTAGTGGGTTGGGTTATCCCACAGACTTTTCTAGGTTAATCAATCCCAGTTCTCTCAGCCTCTTCTTGTTTATATTGTGCACTCCAGCTCCCAGCCATCTTAGTAGCCTTGCTCTAGCCTATTTCCAGTTTGTTGATGTCTCTCTGGTGCTGTGAATACTCCAGGTGTGGCGTTGCAAGGGCCAAATAGAGGGGAATTACCACTTTCCATGACTTGCTAGCCACAGTCTTGCTAATACAGACCAAGGTATGGTTGGCCTTCCTTACTCTGGCATGCACTGTTGCAAGGTCATTCTGACCCTTGTGGGACTGGATTCGTCTTTTCTAAACTTCCTGAAAAGTTTCTACTAAGCCATTCCTCACTTTGCTGATGTCACATGGCACAGAAGCCCAGCTCTCCTGTCTGTCAGTGTGTCCCCTCACCTGGTGCCCCTCAGCGGGACATCTCTCCCTGATTGCAAAGCAGAGGAGAGCTGTGCATAAGTTGTGAATTATCTATCAGAGGACATCTTCTGAAAAGCGTGTTTCGTGTTAGATACCTAAAAGTTACTGTGTGTGGGGTACTGAGTGCTCTAACTCAGACTAGTGCAGCTCCTAAGCACATAATTGCTAGGACTGGATTCACTGTTTTTTTGCTTAATACATGCCCTCCTCAAGTGATGCATATGTAAAATAAACCTTTTTCTTTGTCCTGATGCCCTTGCACTGTTTTATCCTTTAATGACCAGGACAGCAAGGAACTGCTGTGGCTAGAGTATCTTATTGTGAGAGCTGACTTTTAAAAAAAAAAAAAAAAAAAAATTAAAAAAGGAATTTTAAGGTATATTAAAAGCAAAAATGATTGTGCTTTGAAATCCAGTGACATCATGAACTGGACATTTTCTTTAATTTTGTAATATTTTTGTAGACTTTAATAGATGAAACACCTGCATGTTACCTTCAAGACAGGTATTGGATTGGAACATAATGATCCCTTCTGCATTAATCAAGCAGCAGATGTATAAAGGGATGCACATTCCTCATATAAATCAGAGCTGTATTCCATGTACAAGGAACCATGTGGACTTCATTCATCTTCTGTACTAGCACTCACAGGAATGTGGCAGTCATAGTAAACTTAACATTGTTTTGCTTCTTGTGGTTTTGAATGAGCCTTTAATCAGACCAAAATTGATGTGGGTTTATGAATCTGGTTGGGGAAACCATGCTTGGCTTTGTGTGAATTCAAAAAACTATCACAGTATTAAGGGATGTCTGAGATAGTTGCTTCTGCTGTGTTTGTGGACAACAGTATTTCCTGTCATCTGTACCATATGGTTTCAGTTTTCCAGTCTGTTCCCCTAAATGCAGTTGAGATGTTTAATACTGGTTTTTAGGGTCTTGTGTCTCTGAGGTATTTTTCACCTGACATCTAGAAGAAAGCACTTGTTATGATTGTTACCAAAAAAAGTTGAATTAATAAAGTGAAATCATAATATTGAGTTTAATTTGAGAAAATGTAGTAAAACTAGGTAAATTATAGTTTGTGAGTGAAATTGCACTCAATTTAGAAATTAAATGTTAGTGGAAGAAGTCCTTGAAAAGGGCAAAACTTCTTACTCCAGCTCCTGAGAGTGCTGTACACAGTAGAACAGGTGAAGATTTCCTCCAAGAGGATGCTACAGAGGTGTGTAGGAAACCCACTGCTCAACTGGGCTCTGTGTGTTTCATCATAGATTGAGAATGTTTAATTTAATGTTGCATAACTCCATTTGCCCTGTCCAAGAAAGAGCCATTTCCTCTTATAGCTGCCTGGCCCTCATTTAACACATTTTTTTCACGTGGAAGAATAGAAGCAATTAAAATGCTTTTCCTCCCTAAAGATATGTGTCTTAAAAGGCTTTTTGCCTCTCTGCTGTTTTTGAAGTCATAGGTAGACTCTTCAGCACGTAGCCCAGGTCTGTGAATATGAGACTATTTGTCTTCTGATGAATATAGTTGCTCACTGGTGCAATGAGAAGAATAGTTTATGAAACAATGAGTTTATTTACGACACATCTATTACTGCAGAGAGGCCTTGCCCCAGTAAGTTTCCATTCTGACTGGCTCACATGCAGGACTGGTGCCTGCTCACTAAATTGCAACGGTCAAAAAAAGTTCTTAGAACTCTGTTAACTAACATGAAAGACAGTGCTAATATATTAACCTCTTTTAGAGTCCCAGGAGCTCTCTTGAGTGCTCTTTAGGTGGTGTGCCAAAGGCACGATAGATGTCAGTGCCAAAACTTGCTAGAGCTGCTCGGTGGCAGGTCCCAGTGATGTGTAGACCACTGGGCTGTGTGAGTCTCCTTTAACCTTGCAGTTGATACAGTCTACATTTATTGTTCATTAAATGCAGGTGTGTTTTCAACTGACACTGCAGGATATACTGCAAAGGGTGGAGTCCATCAAATACCTACTGTCTGAGGAAATGCTTTTTTCAAGGAGACTTGAGCAGCTGGAATGTGAACTTGGGCAGATGGATTGGCTGTTAAAGAGACAGAGATAACACGGACAAG